GGTGGGGGGGAGCGGGGAAGGGGGGGAAGCATATCTCCTTCCAGGTGGCTATAGCCTTCTTGTCTACAGATACAAACCCAAGCAATAATGCTTTATGTGCAACTGTAAGGAACTAATCCAGAGGAAGTATTGTAAGCCCACGAAGGCAAATCAAGCAGATATTGTCTGGGTTTTGCTGAAGGTCCAGTAAGTGAAATTGAAGTGCTGTATTAAAAAAAAAAACAACCCACAAACAAAAAAACCTCTAAACAAACAAACAAAAACACCAAGGAGGAAAAAAACAGCTGTACTTGTGATGAGAGCTGCAGTTTCTGCTGTCACAAGTGCCAATCTGTCTGTTGCTTCTGCCTCTGTGGAGTGCTCAAAAGGACCTTTTATATGTTTAAGTTAACTTGTTCTCTCTTTGTGGTAAGTAGTAGAATTTATTTGAATGTTTCTAGTTTTGTTGAAGAAAGATTGTTGATTATGGTGTTTAGAAATAGTTCAGAATCCTTGCCTTCTTTCATTACAAAAAAGATGAATTTGAATTAGGATTTTGGAATACAGATTACTTGTTTTTAAAAAGCTGTACACTTGCTGCTTGTTTACTGTCTTTGTAGAAATGTGGTTTACTGTTCTGGGTGAGCCCAATAGCTTGGTTTTTGAGTTCCAGTCAGATTTTATTTGCTTCAGGACACATGCTTAAAATACAAAAGTAAGGTTGTGGGGCCTTTTAAGACCTTGTTCTGGCTTGCAGTGCTGCAGTCAAAATCGGGCAAAAGAAACACTAAATGGATCACTCCTAACTAAGTGGAGGTGTTCATAGACAGATGAAAAGCAATGGAGTGTTGTATGTGCACTCTGAGGTGGAGTAGCAATACGTTGAGTTAGTTGCATGATAGGTTGGTAATTAACCTTGAGTAGGATCAGAGCATAATGGCTGCAGTGACCCAAGAGAGACTACACTTAGGAGTGACTATATTTAGCAGCAGCAACACATGAGCAGAGCTATACTTGCAGAGTAAAGCCAGGCCTGTTTATACTGCTTGTCCCCTACTTCCTCCTGCACGTGAGCAACTTCGGGTTTTTTTGTGGATGGGACTTTCCTCTTGGTTACAGAGAGATTATGTAGATAATATAACTCCCTTGTGTAGAGGGATTTAAACCAATCCTATATAAGCAGGACCATATGTGTCCATAAGGGATCTTCCTTGCAGGAAAGAGTTACTGAATACCTATTAAGAAAGACAAAACAAAAAACCCAAAACAAGACAAAAAAACCCCACCAATGAACTTGACAGAGAACCTCCACACATTTAATTACATTTGATATCTCAGATGTTGGAAGAAAGCACCATTTTCCTAGGTTGCCTTCTAATAACAACTTTTTACAAGAGTCTCCTTTGGATTGGTCTCTGCAGGGATTGTCTCAAACTGCTAGTCTCCAGTCAAGAGAAGAATTGATGAAAGTATCTGGAAGGATAGAATGTGAAGGACCCAACCGTCATCTTTACGACTTCAGTGGAAACTTGCGCTTAGATGGTCAAAGGTATTGACTTGACAACAAAGCCATAAATACATTTGGTTAGGAAAAATGCTTCCTGTGTGCTTTTAGTCTGCAACACCGAGCATATGCATGGTTTTGCTGCCAAGAAGAGGGTAATAATTAACAGTAGTCAATCAGAGCATCTGCCAGTATAAGGTAACATAGTTCTGTCTTTCTATGGAGACTTCTGCTTCTATGGGAGAGTTGGTTTCTTTGGAATCATCGTGGGTTTTTTATGAAAAGTAACATCTAAAGAGGAGGAAGAGTGGGGGAAATGGTTGGGGTTTTTAGGGCCTTCTTGTTACAGGAGGTAACGCAGAGGAAATGGGAAACCTTGGCCTTAAAACTGGAGCCAAAGGCTGCACCAGGTTCAGATCTGTAGAAAAAAATGATCTCAGAATCTGGAGTCTTTTATCAGTGTGATTTTTGATCTGTTGCAACTCTTGAAAGAAAAGAGCCTAGTTCTAGTACTGGGATTCGTAGAATTCAAAAGGTCGGTAGGAACATACAGGTATCATCTTGCTGTACCTGTTTTCCTGCACAAAAACTATTCCTTGGGCAATTTAGCTCAATAGTGACAGATGCAAGAATAGAAGAAGGTCACTTCCATCCCACTTGAAAATCACGTGGGTAATACAGTTTTCCCAAAATGTTTGTTTAATGGCATATGTGAGGTTATAGTGTGCTTGGAATGGATGGTCTGGGTTGGAAGTGTGATGCTTCTCTCTCCTCGATGTGAGAGAACATATTAGCTAAGGTAAAGTGCAGAGTAGGCTTATGGCTGCTGCGTAAGTTCTCAAGTATTGGGTAACCAGAACAGCTCCCTTGTATCACCTTCACCCTACTGTGCTGTAGCAGGGATTAGACTTACACAGGTTTCAGTGCTCTCTTGACTTGTAAATTCATTATTTTAATTTCCTCCTTTTGTGGTTTGTTTGGGGTTTTGGGGGGCGGGAGAGGAAAGGAGAATTGCTTTCCTAAAGTGTTATGAAGAATTGAAAAACACACGTACTTCTTGCTTTGCAGCCCAGTTCCTGTTGGTCCAGACCAGATCCTGCTAAGAGGTGCACAACTGAGAAACACTCAGTGGGTCTTGGGTATTGTTGTGTATACAGGACATGATACAAAACTCATGCAGGTAAAGTTTTTAAGGAGATCTAGAGTATGTTCTGATAGAAGCTGATTATCTTTCCTGTATTCTATTTTTCTTTTGGACTGAGTTTATGAAATGATTTGACTCACTATAGCTGTTTAAGACGTGGAGGCTTTGAGGAATACAAGATATTGTTGTCCTTGAGGTTGCATGTGCACTTGTTAAAACACTTATTGAGGTATTTGTCTCAAAACACTTCAGTACGTAAGCAAAACTATTTTATCTTAATTTATCTGATAGCTGGACAATATTTAAAACTGAGGTTTAACAGCTGAAGAGATGGTAATGACCACCTACAATTTTAGCACTTGGAGATAATTAGGTTAAGACTACAGTCTCTGTATTGCCTTAATGGCAGGGAGTGCCTGGAGGGACCAGCAACATGTATATGTTGCTCACCTCTGCTGACTGCAGTGGGATGGACAGACAGGAGATGAGTGTTCTAGGTTTTTAGAACGGAATGGTTCTCTTACTCCACTATCCTGTCAGTTTTGGAGTCATTAGGAGTATTGGCTTCTACTACTACCTTGTTGAGCTTTGCATACAATATTGAGCTAAATAGAGTTGAAGTAGTAAGTTCTATAATGGGCCCTAAAAATAAAGATTGAGTTTGCTTCTGCAATTCCCTCTTGTATAAGCCATTGGCAGACTTTCTTTTTTTCTGCTGCTGTTCAGAATTCAACCAAAGCACCTCTGAAGAGATCAAATGTGGAGAAAGTGACCAACATGCAGATCCTGGTTTTGTTCTGTATTCTCCTGGTGATGGCCCTTGTGAGTTCTGTAGGTGCCTTATTATGGAATAGAACACATGGTGAAGTCGTCTGGTATCTTGGCTCCAACAGTGAGTATGCAGGCAGTGTGCTAGGGGTGTATCAGGCTGTAGGGCCAGCCAGGCTCTTAACTTTGCTAAATGAGTAGATAAAATAAGAAACAAAGAAACACAAACAGCCTGTTGCTAACTTTCGCTGGCCCAACTTTTTTTTTTTTTTTTGAGAATGGGCTGGCATAAGTGAACTTGCTGGTGAGGCTTCTGTTAATAAAACCTTCTAAAGGTTAGGTAAATATCACTGGGCTACCACCCATGGAACAGGGAAGAAACAGAAAGGGGGCAAGAGTTATTCTTGGATATTTGGTGTTCAAGTTCTTTCAGCTCTGTGGAGATGCCATGCACAAATCTGTTTTTAGAGCAGGTCACGCACTGCCTTAGGTATCATGTCTGACTGTACCTGACTGCAGGATAGCAGTTATCAGTCTGATGATACTGACTTCAACTTTATGCTTATGTACAGAAGCAAAGGATTTCTCTAGCTTTTTTCAGTCAGAAATGCTGATCTGCTCTCATTGTAGAGAAAACTGTTAAATGCTAAATGTTATGATTTTGTATTTATTGGATAATGTTTCAGAGTCATTTTGGCTTCTGACCATTATTTTGTAATGAAAAAACTGATCTCTTAGCATGCTTATTAAGGGGTTTTATTTGATTTCATCCATACTTCTTGAATGCATTAGTTCAGCTAAAGATGGGCCTTATGCAAGCACTTAAGGATGAAACAAATTGCTCTCCAGTACACTTCTGACTGGAGGGGGTTACCTTAGCTAGCTATAAAATGTGTCGTTACAAACATCTTGAGGTTCGGATCTGAAAACAATTCTAAAAACTGCAAATAGTCTTTTTGCTGGTGATTGCAAAACAGATGGCAAAGGGAGTCTTCTGCAGTTTAAGAACTGCAATTGTGATAGTAATGAAAAAAATTCATATAGGAAGACCATGGAAGTGCCTCATATTTGACTCTGGTTTTTGGTAGTTGCAATGTCTTCTAGTAGCAGTATCAGCAACTTTGAAAGTTTCTTCCGTACCCTCCCCCTTGCTTTTTAATGAGGAAGTTTAAATTTGTGCCTTCATTTGTGATGAAAGTAATGTTGGAAAAGATGAATGGAACAAACTTTTGAACTTGTGCTAATATAAAACAGGTGCAACCTGTAATAAACTAGGATGACAGAGTAGTCTGTATAGATGCTTTTTTGTAAATTGAACACACAATTTCTATCACTTTTGTAACTGCCACGCACAGGAAAGACACTTTTTCAGGCTAGGCAGGTAGATATTAAACTTTTGTTAAATGTCTAATTTCTATAAAGATTGTATTGTAAAAACCTTCTCCAATATCAAGTGTGCTTCTACTCTTTCTGTAAACTGATCAAAGATATGGAATTCATGTGTGCTCACACTTGGAGGTGCCTAGTCCAAACTTCAAGTCTTGCTCTTATCTTCATTAGGCTTCAGCAACTTTCTCTGGCTTCTGTCTCCTCCTAGTTTGCTCCCCTGCCTTTTTACTAACTTATTTGTAACACTGAAAACTCCTTAGTTGTGGGCTGTGACTCCACTGTGCTGGGTGCTCTGCATGCTGACTGAAGTGCCTCCCTAAGCTTCAAGGAAAGTGAAGAACAGACAAATGCAGAGACTTTGGATGTGAAGAGAAGCTGTGGGTGGCACCGTGAACAGGAGCCTCCATCTTGTTCTCTGTGTCTCTGCTGAGCCTTGCCCATTCCTGCCTGCTGTCTATAAATGCTTCCCCTTTCCTTTAGGACCAGTTGTGCTGGCAGATTTATTTGGGCAACTTGCCCAATGTTGTCACCATTAAGAACAGCTCTTCTGCCTAAGCAGGATGCCTTAGTTCATTTACTAGGTGTCTGTTTAACAGTCACCTCATTCTCTTAGATTTCTTCAGTGTGAATAACTTCTCAAGTCCGCCAATGCTGGCAGATTTTAGAACAAATTTTAGTCTTTTTTTTTTAATAACTCCACTGAGACAAGTAGGCACTTCCTGAAAGGTAAAGTTATGTTACTAGTGATATTGGTGGCTCTTAATTGGGGCAGTTGACACATCTCTAAATTTGCGTTATATTGTGAAATATCATACTTCGCACCATCTGTTTAGCAAAAATTGTTCAGAAAGTGTTCTGTTTTCTAATATATAGCCTCACCAATCTTGCCCTTCTTCACCTGGCATAATATGCTGTATATCCAGGCATGTGTTCTGTGGGTGTTTTGTATATGTACTATCAAAATCAATTAAGTCCTTTGTACTAGGTCTCACACACTTGCTGATTATTTTAGCACTACTAAATCTGATCAGACCAACTGCAGAAAGATGACTGCCCTTATACTGTATCACTCAGACTTCTGCCTTCTGTTTGTCTTGCGTCTTTTGGTCCACAGAAATGCTGTCTGTCAACTTTGGATACAATCTGCTGACGTTTATAATCTTATACAACAACCTTATTCCAATCAGTCTTCTGGTGACATTGGAAGTTGTCAAGTTTACTCAGGCTCTTTTTATAAATTGGGTAAGTAACAAGAATAAATGTATTAACATCAGTTTTGGAAAGTGACATTCAAAAAAAAACCACCCCACCCTGAAATCTTTTACCAGATTTTTCTGGTGCAACTTCTGGGAGAGGCAGGGAGAAGTTCAGTGGATTTATTCTGTATTAGTTCTGTGTTCCACAGGAAGTTAAAAGATTTAGTTATAGGAAGACCCTCTGTGCAAATGATCACTCTTGTATATTTTAGGCTTTCAGAATGAGAAGGCAGGCTCAGCTCTTTTGGTTGAAGGAGGTCTCTCAGCTGACTCATGTTCAGTAAATATCTTTTGAAAACTCTTCAGTACCTTATGACTTTTCAGTCACAGCAGAGGGAAAGACTAGACTTGTTTAGAGGTGTGGGGGAGGGATTGGGGTGGTGATTTGTGTGTGTGTTTTTTTTTTTTTAATTTAAATCCAGAGGCTGGCCTTAAGGTCACCTCTGGTATGAATCATAGTTTTTCAGTAAGAGGATGAGTTGGTGGTGCTTCATGCAAGAAAACAGTAATCCCTTTGTTCAGGCAAGCTTTGACTTCAAAGTGTGTTTCTGTTCAGTTGTGGACCAAAAATACTGTAGTGATGTCTCTTAAGCTGAACAAAACAAAGATAAATACTTTGTCTTGGTGTGTGTTAATCCTTGGACTTTCAGTAAAGTTCCCCTAAAATACAAGGAGATGAGGTCTAATGTGTCTGTTCTCTGAGCTGCTTATAATGTATTGGAGATGCTTTACTAACTTATCTGAGAAATTGCTTTGGTTCATGTAGTGGCTGTTTTGTTTACCCTCCCAATTAAATGTAATAGGAGGAGTTAATTTCAGTCACTTAAATTGTCTCTTCAATCATGGATGTGGCTAAATTGCATTGTTGTAACTGAAGACCTATGATTAGCATGGCTAAGCCTGTCAGAACTTCTTCCTACTGCACTAAACTCTTAAACTAGAGATTTAATGAATAAAATGATAATTACCTATAATTGAATCTAGCTTTTCTCATGTACGTGTAGTATGGAGGTATACTTTGGAAAGGAGGCACCCCTATTCAGCCTGGGATGCTGTTTGTCTCTCAAGCCTTCAGAACCTCCACCAATGGAGTTAAGTCAATCAAGCCAACTGGAGCTGACTAAAAGAAGGCTTCAGTGTTTAATTTGCGTAGCATAGGTCTAATTTTGCTCTTATTTCAGGACATAGATATGTATTATCCTGAAACAGATACACCTGCAATGGCCAGAACCTCAAACCTGAATGAGGAACTTGGGCAGGTAAGACAACACTTTAAGTGTCGTGTTTGTGATACATTCTGGAAGGACAGAAGGTATGAGAGCTGCAGTACAAACACAATTTATTCTATTGCTCAGGTTATTGGGACATCTTTACTTTCATTAGTCCAAGTCTTACAAGTGAAATAATGAGTTATCACAGGATTAAATTTGAGGTCATATGTGATAGGGATTGATACCAAATATGAAGTAACAGTGAAGAGACATACGGTTCTTTGGTTGAAATGATGCAGATGGTTGGGAACGCTTTGTGAATAGACAGGCCGGACATTCAGTAGATAAAAAGGCCTTGAAATGTAGTATTCTGTGTAAAATAGATAAAGAGAATAACCTTGTATCTTAAGTAGAACAGATAAGGGGGTAGTGCTAGTTTGTGATAATGAGAATTGTGCTAATTAAGCCAAGAGTTAAAACTGAGCATGCGTAAAGACTGAGTTCATCTAAAGGACACTGTGAGGAAGACTATCAATGACCACCAGAAGACCCTGAAAGACCACCAAAGAACTCAAGGGCGCATGCATCAAAGACTTTTTGCATATGTTAATGAATTCTGGGAAACAATATGAATATTTAGATTATTTCTCGGAAATGTAATGAATATGTATACCCTAATTGTATGTAACTTCTATGGTTAAGTGATTTGGCATGCACACTAGGTGGAGCGATCCCCTGTGCGTCCGACATAGCAATAAAGAATACCTACTTTCTAAAACTCCAAATTGAGTCTTGGAGAGTTTGTCAGGAACTTCTTCATTTCATATGGGCATTTTTAAGCCTGGGAATAGAATCTTTATTTCTTATGTTCACTCTAAACTGACTTTTTTCCTCAAGGGTGTTGAAGAGATGCTCTGTGGTTGTGACTGTCTATACCGGAACAGAATGTACAGGACTAAGCTTGGCTGAAGAACAGGCCAATAGCCTCAGCCTGTGTTCTTAGTTCTTCATGTTTCTGACCACCTCACAGGAAATGCAAGTCAAAAAAATGCAGTTCTATTCCTAATTTAGATTGTGTTCCTTCAAGCACTTCCATTTTCCTTTCAGATAAAGATACTGTATGTTAACAGATCTCTTACAACAAGTACAAGTTACAAATTCTGCAAATGAGATTTTTCAAAATGGAAGGGCTTCCCAAAATAAGGTTACTGGAAAATATAATTTTGCCATTGAAATTTTGTAGTACCATTGAGAAATCCTAGCTTTTTTCCTTGACCACCAAAGTCGTAAGTGTGTAACTGGACCACATGAACTTCATAATTCGTGTGAATTTAGTGTTGGAGATTGTTATGTATGTAAAATACATAATTATTGTGCCCTGCTCAGCAGGGTGGTAGTCAATATTCTTCCTGCTTAATCTGATGGGCCTTTTCCTTAGGATTGTTAAAATATGATTTGTATTTAGATTGCTTTGATGTGAAGTTATCGACCTCCGAATTATGGTAGTGGTTTTGTCCGAAGTAAACTATATTATGTGGCATAATGTGTATTGTTGGCCCATATGTTGTTTTCAGAAATGGCTTACTAGTGATTCTGTGAATTTTTGGGTTCGTTAATTGAATTGGTCACAGGTGTATTTTAAAATTTTATTATATGCTAGAATTATTAATGACTTGAAGTTCCTCAGATGTTTGGGTACCCACTTTGTAAATGGAGCCTGTGCAAGTTAGAAGTCAATTCTGTAGTCAGAAGCAGTGTAGTGCACAGCTAAAGGATCACTTAACTAGTAGTATAGTGCACTGTCTTGTAACTGAATTGCAAATATTGAGGAAAAGCTTTTTGCAACTCTAGGCAAAATATTCTGGTCTTTAAATTGGCTAGCTCTTACGTTAGCACTATTCCTTCCTACCTGTTGCCGGTTTAAAATCTTACCTGGTGTCTAGGTAAAATAATGTGGAATTTAGCTTGCAATTAATTTTGGTCTGTTGTGGCCTATTGAAGGTAGGAATGTTGAATCTGTTTAGTGCTTCAAGAAGTCATGTTGCCGTGTTGGTGATGTCTTCAAGTTCTAGCTGAAAGTCACTGGTTTCCATTAAGGGATTATTAGCTTGGGCAGTGCTGACGATGGCTGTATATCTTGCACTTCAGGACTGTTCATGACTGGATACCAGAAAAAGCAGTTTATGTTTGCCTGCAGAATACCACTTGGACTTACTCTAGGATATTCCTTGCACAGTACTGTTTATGGCAGGGGAAAAAACCCCAAGCAAATTCCTGGTGATCTTTGGAACACAGAATATTTAAATTCTAAATAGTTAAATTCTAATGATTCTTCAACAATCTTACAAGTCTTTTGTTTTAATTCCCAGTCTTGCTGTTTGACGTTAGTACAGTTGAAAGATTTGGTCACTGTTCAACTAGCACAAGCAAGTACATCTGTCCTGACCACGCTGGAGCCTTGGCAATTGATACCTACTATTTGGGCCTTGCTGCATTTAGAGATAAGAAGAAATAATGCCATTGAATAACTTTCCTGATTATTTTCCTGTAGCTTTAGGACAAACCAAGCTGTAATAAGCCTGCGTTGGCCAGTACTGTGACATTTGAGCCATATGTCTCCCAGAATTTTCCTGATACTTAATCTGTTTTCCACTTTGAATTTTGTTACTTTGCAAGTTGAAAATTAGATTTTTTTTTCTTCCCCCCCCTTCTAGGTGAAATACCTGTTTTCTGATAAAACAGGTACTCTAACATGCAATATCATGAACTTTAAGAAATGTAGTATTGCTGGAGTGACATATGGGTAAGTGACTTTTTTAGAAAATCTGTGGCTTAATATGTGCTTGTTAATGGTACGTACTTCTAGATCAGAACAGGATTAGAACATTCTGTTCTTCCATTTGTATTTTAGTATATTTTCTGGTCTCAGTTAATAGGTCTCATTTTGATATCCTGCAACACAAACTATGAAATGCAAACCTGGGGACTACTTTACATGAAGTAAAGAGAAATAATTACTTGTTTCTTAACTTAATTGATCATGATTTAAACTAAACCAGAAGTGCTAAATAACCTCTGGCCTTTCCAGAGGGAAGAAGATGCAGCTTAAGGGTAGTAATTGTCATGCTTCTGTGAATTCTGCAGATGAACTAGGATTTCATTACAACCACGTAGCTGTAATTGTAGTTGTAGAGTTAAATATTCCTTGCACGGGAGGGATACCCACTTACTGGTTTTGTTTCTGTCAAAAGGATCCCTTTGAGTTATGCCAGTATTTCATAGCACTAGGCCTTTTGAGTCTTGAATATTAAATCTTTGTCTTTGCTTAGTTTTAAATGGGTAGTTTTAAGATCTCTGTGGAAGTTAACCTTAGAGTTCCATGGTAGCTAAATTAGATAGCTCAAAATGCAGAAAACTTGATTTACATGTATGAACAGCTGAACCCAGCATGTGTTTGTATGCGTGATGATTCATTGATCTTCGTCTTCTACCTATTTTTTGGTTTGCGAAGTGGAATAAATGTTCTTTTTTCCTTTTTGTACCCCTCAGTCACTTTCCCGAGCTGGAAAGAGAACGTTCATCAGAAGACTTCAGGTAAATATATTCAAAGATGTTTGTGTTCTGTATAGCAGAGTGGGGACAGCCTATATAAAGACTGCTTTCCAGTTTGGGACTGGAAGAAGTCCAGGGGAGCAGTCTGTGTAAAATACTCTTCCTGCAGAGCTGGTGGGTGGTGATGGATCTTTTCTTCTGCATACAGAGATGGTGGGTGAAGGGGAGTGAGGGATAGGCAGTGGCTGGGGTGGCTTGGATGCATGCTAATGCAGTGCTTATTTGTAATTGCAGACAACCAAGTTACAAGCTAAGAGTAACCTTCTTTACAGTAACCTTACCCCTAGCTAGAGACTGAATGTTACTCTTTGCAATCACTAAGTTCAAACTTGAGAAGGAGAAGAAAAGGAACTTCTTTATTAAAATTTTATGTTTTTATAATTAAACTGGGAAAGAGCTTGATATGGAGGTGTCTCATGTCAAGAGAACCACTCCTCTTTATTCAGAGATTTAATGAATAGAGGTATTGGGTCTGTCCCATCCTACAGAAAGGAGTGAAAACCTAAAGCATTACGCAGGTGTCACTGTAGCATGTTCAGATTAACAGGAAGTGGGGGGAAGAGCCAGAGAGGGCTAATGTGGCTTTGGCAAATACAGGTAAGAAGTGAGTTCCCACCCACGAAACAGGTAGACACTCAATGCTGTTAGCCACTTTCTGAAGAACTAAGTTAAGCTTCTCTACTGGTCCATCTCATTTTTATAATCAACTTTTAGGAAGGTGATATGATATGATGTTATGTTGCTACTTCGGCTGAGATGTGATTTCTATGGATGCATCTTTTTCTTCAGCATGTTGTTGTTTCCTTCGTTGCCATCTTTTCTCTCCCTGTATGCTTCTTTTCTAGTCAGTTCTGTGGAAGAGTTTCTTCCAGGTACTGATTTGCAGTACTTGAGCTTAAACGCCTCCAGTGGTCAACCTGAAGCAGAACTGACTGACTAGAGAGGGAGCTTAGGGATATTGATCTTTGACCTATCTTAAAAGCAGGTCACCTTGAAATCAATGTATTTCAAGTACACTTAAAAGCTGCTTCTGCTACATCTGTCCTAGGAAGTGTGTTGACACTTGAATCCTCTCAAATACACTACCAAGCATAACCATTTTGGGTTTCTTGCTGGTGTTCCGAGGAAATTATTGCTCACTTTCAGCACTTGTTGTATTACTCATATGATCTTTTCACAGTACTTTCAAGGACAGTGGAATCTTACTGTGTTTTCCTTTGCTTCCTAATAAAATAGATGAAGTAGTAAGATTGGAAATGTTGCCACTGTTACGTTTGAATATGCTTGTCTTGCTCTGCAGCCAGCTACCTCCTTCTACCAGTGAATCGTGTGAATTTGATGACCCAAGACTGCTGCAAAACATTGAAAATGACCATGTAAGTTTACTCATCAAATATCATGTCTCTTAAACACCCTGTTATAGGCCTCTCTGGAATTGAATGCTAAACAAATCTACTTGTGTGATGAAATCTGCTCTATGGGTGTGTCATGCAAGCACAGAGTGGGGAAAAAGGACACAAAATAGCTCCCCCAAACCCTTTCTGCCCACTTGTCTTACTACCGAATTAAAGGAACAATGACATCGATGTGGGTACCAGCTAGCTATAAACCAGCTTCATATATGCTAGTGTATATGGAAGATAATGTCTTGTAGCAAATGATGGTAGAAATTGTAATTCTTTAAAAGAAAAACTACTTGTGGTGTTCAAACATCCATACTTGTGGTGCTCAAACAATCCAGAGCATTGCAAGGTGGTTCTGGTATGAGACCTGCTTTAAATACTGTAACTGTTTGGAATTCCAATTGCGTACAGGATGTAAGAGATGGGTTTTAATGGCAAGCTTAAGCTTAGCCTGACACTTAGTAATCTTAGCCTAACTGGTTGTGTCCTAAAGGGACCTAGTCCTTAGGAGAGTGTCAGTTCATTGCTTATTTGGAAACCATGCAGCTATGAAGTGTCTGACTGGACAACAGACAACTTAAGTCACTTGTGAAAAATATGACCCTTGTATTCTGCAGAAACTGTATCACTGTAGGGAATCTGGGCATTGGCAAGCACAAACTCAAATGACAAACTCAATTAACTGATTGCTCTCCTTAGTGTAACTTGTATAACTTCTGTAACTGGGCTGGTTAAGTTTAGTATGAGCATCTAAAATATAGTTACAACATCCTGTTTGTGTGCAGCAAATCTTTGCTTTCTGTTTGGCTTTACAGTACTTAAGAAGTTGAAATGCAGCATGGTATAAATGCCCAAAGGAATATTTACTACTTTGTATGTCACTACATATTCCTCAGGGTGATAGAGCCAGAAGATGGCTCCTGTGCTCTAACCTTCAGGACGGTGGCCTTGCCAGGACAACGTACAGGTTTCCTGTGTGGCTTTTGTAATCATCTGCACTGGAAGGACTTCCCACTGCACTTCACTTGCAGCCAAGATTTGGGTTGCCTCCTGTTCTTTTGTGTTCTGTTTGTTTATATATGGTTACAGTTATGGTTTATGGCAGTTGCTGACACCAGGTACTCCTTCTGAATGCAAGGCTACTGGTTTAGGTAAAGATAAAGCGTGTTTGGGCTCTTCCTCACTGGCTGTTGCTTTAGGCATCTCTGCAGAGAAGTGCTTCGGTACATTTTAATAGACTCAGCAGAAGGGACATATATCAAATGGCCTGTGAGATGGAGTTTCTCATCTAGCCTTGAGATGGCTCCTTAACTTTGGGGTATCTCTAATTCTTTGATCTTCTCTGGGTAGAGCTTCTAGTTTGGGAGATAGAAGGAATATTTGCTGTTGTAGCAGGCAAATAAAGGATTTTGGTAGCTTCCTTAGGTGTCACTTAGTCTGGACAACTCAGAAGTCTTTGTTCTTTACATGCTGAACTCTTAGGCATCAAGTTTCCTTTGGGCTGGCAACTTGAACAGATCAATACTGTTGTCACTGCACAACTGACTATTGTCTGAGCCCACTCTGTGAACTCAGCCCTCAGACAATTGGTGGGGAAACTTGTGGCTGATAAGACTTAAGGTGTACCTTGTGTAGGTCAAAGATATCTTTTGGAGCCTGGCTGTACTGGAGGGATGGATGCCACCCACTGACAAGTGGTGATTTAGCACAAGACACAAGAATGCAAGGACTACTTGTGACAGTTTGCTTAGGAAGTTCAGATCCATTTGTCAAACTGTATCAGTGAGATGAGGGCTGGATTATAGGATAGTGGGAGAGGGAAGAGTCACCTGTTACTAGCTCATAAGCTTTTTGCATTAGGTCAGCTGTTAAGGTGCATAAACTGCTTCCTTCTACTTAAATATCCTTAGTTATCATAGCTAGTAGATAGCTGCAGATACCATTTACAGATGTCTGACAATCTCTACTCGTTTAGTGAACTGAGGTGATAAAACTGAAGTATTCTAGCACAAGCTGCCTTGTGGGGTCAGATGGTGCTGTTCTCAGCTGGGCAATGAATTCTTTTTAAACATTTGCCCTTTTGCAGCTGAAGTTGTCATGTGCTGTGTCTCACAAACACTCAATAATTGCTTCTTACTCTGTTCTTGAAGATTTTTTTTTTTTCAATCCAGTCGCAAGTATTAGTTTAGAGCTGTTTCAGTGCCAAGTAATTTTCTTTCCTGGTTGAAAATAAAAAAATAATGTACTTGTCCTCATGAGATTGTTTTCCTTCTGCTAGGAATATTTTAGCATCCTGCATCACCTCTGAATTTCGTATCTCTTCTGGGCCACTGGTGTGTAAGGACTGACTGATGGCCAAGTCCACTCTTGAGTAACAGTCAAAGAATTATTGCCCTGCAGGAAGTGTTCAAAGGAAAAATAACTTGTCTTGACAACATGTGGAGGTTTCTCTTGACTTCTCTGGGATTTTAATGTGGAAGAAAGTACTTAGGTTTGTCTGCCTATACTTTTTCTTTGTAACAGCTTCTGTTGGATCAACTGTGCATCAGCGCCAAGAGTATGATGCTGGCTTGTTTCTATAGGGAAAATGGCATAAACTCTTATTAGAATAAGCAAAGATCAGTTATTTCCAAAAACTTCAAAGAAAGTTTGGTGAATGTGCTAGATGGTCTTTATCTTGGTGCTTGTGAGTTGCACATGTGCTGTGAATAAACTTATCATGGAGATGCAAGCCTGTTTGGTGTGGGGTTATTTTTTACCCTGATATGAGCACAGGGAAGGAGGTCAAGAAGTAAAAGAACTAATAAACTCGTATCTCATCCTAGACTTCTCTGTTATCTCCCAGGATTCTTTCCAAACTTCCTCTACTCATTCCAATCTGCGTATAAGCTCTCTTCTGAGGCTTGCAAATTACTGCTTGCGCAAGAAGAAGCAAGCATGTAGCTGGTATAGCTGCAGATGCATGAATTGATTCAGTGAGTATATGTGAGGAGTAGTTAAGCAGCTGGCCAGGCGGAACAGATAATTGTTGTGCTCATGTTGAGCCTTTACCATAGTGAAAGTGTTCATTTAGATCTCTCCAACATGTCTGCTTGTTTCCATGAAGTATGTGGGAACTGAGGCTTTTATCCTATCAGGCTTTGTAATGACTGCGATTGTCAGCTGATTCTTAATTCCTTAGGAAAGCAGAACAAGAAAAGCATATCACTACTGGAATGAAAAACTGGAATTTAAAATACAGTAGGAGGAAAATACATTCAGGTGGTGAGAACCTCTGGGAGGCTTTTGGTCAGAAAGTAACTGTTGCCTGAAAACTGTCCAAACATACTGTTTTACAGCTGACAAATTGTTATAGCTTGGTGAGAAATACTTTTCACTCTTCTGCTTTTGCCCTTATTGTCCATACTTTTCTTTTGTTCAAGCACAAGGCAGTATCTTTAATTATAGATCATATTTTGGTGACTTTGGACAAGATAAACTTGCATTTAACCAACATTTGAATATCAGTAGAGTTAATGTGTTCTTTGAGTCTGTGCCTGAAATATCCCAAATCCGCTCCAACCTTACCAGCTTCACTGTTTTAGAGATGCCCAACGTATCTGGATCCTCACACTGTTCTCCAGGTATTATTTTAATGAACAAAACAGTAGGAAGTTCACATCTTTTTGAGACAGTGAGTCGTAATTCTCCCTGGTAATGAAATGGATGAGTATTTTACTAGCTGTCCTTGGCAGAATGTGCCACACTTATGCTAAGTAGTAAGCTCAAGTTGTTACTGTGCCTTAATATCCCATTGGCCATTTTTAGGCCATTTGCTCAAAAACCTGTCAGTCCTGCTCATCTGGAAATACTGTGAATGGAGGCACTGATCTGGTACTGCTACAAGTCAAAGGAGAGATGAATAAATATCTTTAACTTGACATGCAACTTCCTTGTAATTTTATCACGCTGTGAACAGTTGACTAGAATAATGCAGTTTCTGTCTTCAGAGTGAAGAGGCCCAGGTAAGGACATGTGTGACAAATGTGCAGATATGTAGCTCTGAGGAGTGCAGTTTGCTCCCCAAAAGAACGAGTTTCGACTCAGTGTATTCTCCCTTATTCAGAGGGAACAAAACAAAGGGATGAAAACTTACTACAGCTTCCTGACCAGTGGTCTATGCCCTGCTTGATAATGGATAATGATGTGCCTTCTAGATAGGGAAACTTTTACTTTCAGTGTAGATAATGCTTTGTAGATAACAATCCAGACACTGCTTCCAGAAATACGAGACTGTCTCAATGTGTCTGTAGTTCTCATATTGTAGGGGCAGTGTGCAAAATAAGTTCAGCCAGTGGGGTGTACTGCTGGCATAGGTGGTTGTACACCAGATGTGCCATGCATCTTTGGAAAAGACAGAGAAAGAGAAGCAATAGCTTTCACCTAGAGCTGTTGGCACACAGGGAGAAAAATGGGGGGAGAAGGCACTCAGATTGAGAACTGCCTGTGGACGGATGAGCAAGAGACTAAAATATGCAAACTTTGTTCCTGCTACAGATAAATAGAGAAGGAAAAGATGGGGTGGGAAGAAATAGAGCTGAACTTAACATATGAGCAGGCAAGGAATGTCTCACGGAGACCATCAGGAAGAATTTGAGTACTAAAATGTCAGGGACTTGCTTTAATAGAGGAAAATAAGTAATAAAGCAGAATCAGTTAACCTGTGGGATCTCTGTCTTATGCTGGGGTTAAGCTTGGCATGGTGCAAGGGATGTATCACCACAGAAGCTATTAATGAGTTTTCTGTTCACAGTTCTGAAGTAGGAATTTGAATGCTCTATCCTGATTCATGCCAATGCAACAAATATTATGTCAGTGCTGGAATAATATAGAAAGGAAACAAATGACAGCTGTGTGGAGGAGCTGATGTGATAAGCTGGGCCTCTGGTGATCTGTTGCTATAGAATTGGAAGATTGCCATATAATACATTGTGAGCTGTGAAAATACCAAGACAGCAACAAATTACATTGCTGGCTTGAAAGCAGAAGTATATACATAGGAAAGATTGAAATCTATGACATTACTGGAGCCAGGTTGTTTCCAGATGATAGAACACATACTATGAAAGCTTATAAGGGACTAGGTGATAAACGTGTAAGAAGGACAGCAAAGGTCTGCAGCAATGGATGCTGAAATGAGAATCTAGCAGGCTATGCATTTTGAGATGGAGTTAAAACTTTCATTGCTTTCACTGGAAATAATGAAGCAGCAGAAACCTCCTGACCAGTAATTTGCTGTGGACTTAACATTTTGTACACTACTCTCAGATTATATTCCATCTGTTCCTTTTCTGGAACACAGCCTCTGCACTCCAGCATGACAAAAGCTACAACTGTTGTTATTTTAGTGGCTTGTGACCATACAATTAAAAAGTTTCAGTATACAAAGATAAAGGTCCCATGTGAAACAGTTTGCCATGAGTATTTTCATGAATAAATACATGAAGTAAAACAAGAATATAAGTATTGGATCTGCAGTCCTTTTATTACACTCTTTTCTGATATGCTTACTTTTTGTTTACACATGTTAACACAACATTTGCCAGCTGACACTTTGTGGCTTTCATAGTAATTTACTTTCTTCTAATTAAACCTTGCTATAGCATCTTTCTGTTGTACAAGTATGCAGGCCATGTGCATCATATTGAAAAAAGAAACAAAAACTCAAGAATTTTTTCCTATTCTTGGTCTTGTCCCTGAAATAGGACCTGAGATAGAACAAAACTTTATTTTTGTCACATAGCTTGGCTTGGGGAGAGAAGCATTAATGTGTCTTGAGACCCAGTTGTGAATGCTGCTGGCCTGATCATGAGAAGTTTGTTTTAAGTGCCCCTCTAAGTGGGAAATGGAGGAGTCCTTAATGTCTCAGTAGTTCTATGTGATTAAAGGGTTTTATAAAATGATTGTGTGTTGTATTTCAGGTAGTAGTACTGCATATACTCTTAGAAAAATACATATAATATAAGCCTCTCACATCAGAGGATTTTTGGTGGCCTGTAGTTTTCACATAGTTTCATTTGAGTATTGTGGCCTTTTTCTGTTGTGAAATGTTCTGGTGTACACTAGCATAATAAATTTTGTAGATGCATCTTTTAACTGTTGGAAAAAAAAACTTGGATCCTGTTTTACTAGAATCTCGCAGGATTCTTCTCCATCTGATCTTGGTTTTAATATCACGATAGTGGGGTTTTGGACTGACCTTGTGCTTGTTATGCTCTTAATTTTGTAGTGACTCTGTTAAGATGGAGTATGTATAAAATATGCTATGCTAATGAAGACTTTGGAAACTAGATGATATTTTCATATGCAAAAATTTTGTGAGAGTTTGCAAAGTCAACTAAGGCTCTCTGCAAAGGTAAAACTGCTAAGTTCATGTCTGACTCAGTCACTGAGCAAACAGCTGCTGTGATGTAAGATTTTGATGCTACCGACTGATGTTACGGATATAGTAGAGTTGGTGAAGGGGAACATGTGTTCACTTCAGCTGTTTCAGCCAAGCATCTTAAATATCTGTGTGAACTGTGGATGAAGTTAGTATGGCAAGTTGTGACCTGGGCAGCTGAGTACCATTCCTTACTGCTATGAGACTGGAAATGCTATGCCAGAGGCAGGGGTGGAAAGGAGGGAAGAATGGGATGGAGGACTCCATTTCAAGTCACTATAGCTACAGTTGCCAGAATTTGTTGATCAGAGGCCTATGATTTAAGTGCCATAGCATCTTCACTGAGTTGTAGCCTGCTGTCTCTTTAAGCACTTTGGGGTGGCTGGCAACTATGCAGTCTCTGAAAAATGTTTTATATTGTGTCTTCTCATGATGCTGAATGTGTAGGGACTATGATCAAATTTCTGCTTGGCTGGATGATGTATTCTGGTGGAAGAGCACACGATGTTGCCTTCTACTGGCTAATCAGCTGCTGTCAGCTCGATGTTCATCACTAAGGGTGCAATTGCAATGAGTTTAGTTCTGGTGTGGTTACTGTCAACCTATTGAAAGCTGTTGTGGAAGCTACCAAAGTAGTATTTCCTATTGCTTGATGATCATCAGCATCTGGTGGCAGACATCTTTGCCTATATGAAGCTTGGGGTGCTACAGAACTAATGCTTTTATATTTGGGGGGTGGGGTGGGGGAATATTCTGTCTTCCCAGCTTTCTGCATGGGAAGTGAGATCGTTATCATTAGCACTCCAGTTCGTTAATGATGGCCCTTAACTCTGCTGTATTGATGTTCTGGGACGAAGGCAACTACTATGAATAGAGAACAGAATATCTTTTTTTGTCTGTGGTACCTAAGAGGTCTTATCAGGTTTGTGAACAGCTGCCTCTCAGTCTGTGTGTAATACTAAACCTGACTTTCCTGATGTCCTGTCTAGCCCACAGCTGTGCACATACAGGAGTTCCTCACTCTGCTGGCTGTGTGTCATACTGTTGTTCCTGAGAGACAAGGAAATACAATAATCTACCAGGCCTCCTCTCCAGGTTGGTTGTTGCTGTCTTTTTGGGGAGGGAAGGAGTGAGGGAGTAGCAATGAATGGATGGGGATGAAAGGAAAGTGCAGAAATTTCTGAAGAGGTCATTGATTTTAAAAGCAGGAGGTCCTCCATGATGCTAGCAGTAGATCTGGCATCTTCTGTCACCAGTGCACACTGCTTTTCAATGCCTCAAAGAAAACTGCGAATTCCATGATGTTTCTGTAGAGCTAGGCTAGGCTTTTGATCCCTTCTGCTCTCACAAGACCACCTACTCTGGCCTCTTTCTGCAGGGGTGAAAAGCAAAAGTAAAACTTTCAGTGACTTGTCTTCCCTACATCGAGCTGACCTATGGAAGTACTATGTGTTTCTGCATGAACAGTTCCTTGCTCTATGTGGCATGAGTGCTGTTTGTCTTTAGTAGCTTCCCATGTTGCTTTATGCAGATACAAGTTGCTGATACATGACATGGTACAAGAAAGAGCAGAGTCTTGGCCATATTTGGGCCTACCCTTCACCCATTTCTTCCTTCTTTCAGGCAGCACAGTGGTACTGAAAGAGGTAGGCAGGGCCAAAATTAAGAACAGTAGGGCCCTGCTACCCATCAAATTTATCTCCATTTCTGAGGATGTTTCTGGAATTGTTGTGGTGATATATTGAGTGATAAAGCAGCAGTGTTTCTATTTGTCTTAAAGTGTCTGCAGAGTCAGATGAACAGCCCGTGTAAGGCAGATTTAGTCACAATGTTAGTCACAGTGTTGATGAACTCTGAGGAGACCAAGGGAGCTGTAGAGACATTACGGTTGCTTGAGCTGGGCACTAAATTCACTTGATGGTGGTTGTACTTAATGCCACTTGCTCCTTGACGAGGCTGTATAAGTACATACTAGAGGTAGAGGTGTTGGCTCTGGTTTCAGCTGGGTTATTTAAGCTCTTAATGATGCTGCCCAGTTCAGTCTCCAGAAAACAATGCTGTACTTAAGTCTATAGCACCTGAACTTAGTGCCTTTACAGAGAAAAAGGATTAAATGCATGTTGTAGGAATTTAGAGTAACACAGCTTTGATCTTGCTTTCAGAACAGATCCCCCTTTTCATGTAGAAAAGTATGACTTCTCCACAACAGTAGAGTTTAATGCTTCAGTAGTTACAGGATGTTTTATACAGATTGAGTATGAAGTTTGTATAGTTGATATTATATGGCCTTTGTAGGACTAAAATGTCAATGTTCTTGTGGAAGCGTGTGCAGAGCTACTCTAGCAGCCCTAGAGATGTGGGAGTACATAGGGAAAGGGGACTTCTGTGTTTTGGCAGTGTGGCATATTTAAGTATGACTTTGCAGGCCTCTTCTACATACCAGATTAAGCTTTTCTTGTATTGGCAGATGAAGGGGCATTAGTGAAAGGAGCGAAGAAACTCGGTTATGTCTTCACAGGACGGACTCCACATTCGGTTATCATTGATGCGGTAAGTAGTAGATGTGCATGGCACAGACTGCTAAGCTCATGCAGAGCATAAATGTCTCCTGTGTGGTTCTTGTGAGTTCCCCTGTAAAGGGCCTTTAGGATGCTACATGCAAAAGGCTTCTGCAGACTGGGAAAAGTTGTCTTACTCTATTTTTAGATGCAAAGTCCTCTGCCCTTCTGTGTGGCATGGGCAATAGGAAGTTGCAAGCTTGTATGGGAAATGACAGCAGTTGTGCCTGAAGAATATTTCCCTTGTCTGGGAAGCACAGATGAGCATGCTTACATCAGAAGGAAATGGGAGATTTTCTAACTATTATGTTTAACCGTTACTATACTTCTAAATGTTTGATTTCTTGTATTAAAATGGAATTTTTCTTCTGAGTAAGATCACATACAGAATATCTATCTATTTAACAAGCTTTGTATGCAGGGGTGTGTACACGGATTAGAGTTAACACAGGCAGTTTCAAACTCATGGGGCCACATTCTGATTTAAGTTGCAGTCTAAGCTAAAGTGGCTCCAGATTTACACAGATGCAACCAAGATGAGAACTTTGTCTCTAGAGTATATAGTAGGGTCCTTGTTAAGAATAATGGATGTATTTTTGTCCTTCCCCTCAGGTACATTCACTTTCAAGTTTCTTGGGATGCTGCCAAGCCAAGTGCTTAAAACATAGATCTTTCTAGGACTTGTCACAAACTTTTTCTAACTACTCAGAAAGCTGCTGCTTAGTTTAAGGGGAAGAGCTTAGGGTGAATAGTGTCATCTAGAGCTATCCAGGCTCTTCTCTCCTGTGCAGGAAGACCCAGGCCCACCTGACCTAGTTTTATACTCCTCTTACATGCCAAGCTGGGAGCATGGTCAGTTTATAGCCAGCAATAAAAGCTGTCACTCCTAGAGGTTCCTGTCTCTCCTCATTGTCTACATCTGTGGCAGTACGTAAAACATGGGTTGGAGATGGCTTTTGGCCTTGGGGATATTGCTGAATTGATATGTGCCTCATAGGCTATAACTCTGTACTGCGATTAGATTTTGCTACAGCCCTTTCTTTAACCATGTGCTACAAATACTACTGGAGTTCTGAGACTCCGGTAACTCCCACTGCTCCTACCATCTGTTATACAACAGGAATGCAAAGACAAGGCATTTCTAATCCTCTTGCCTCCTCAGGTTGCTCACGCTCAACCCCAGCAAATAGTTGTTGGTGATAACAGGAATTACTCCTCAGTCAACCATTTTCTGCCACAAAAAATATGATCTAATATGTTTGTAAATTCAAGTAAAAGAAATATTAAGGCAGTTCAGACAAAGGTTATTGTAATACCAAATCTGGATGGCATGTTTATTTTAACTTGGAATTGTGCTCACAGTCTGTAATATGTCTCTAAGGCTGCTAAGAAGTAAATATGCAGCTTAACTTTCAGAGCATGCTTATCCTTCTAGAGTAAGGTATTAGTACCTTGAAATGGTGTAAAAATAGGAAATGGAGGATGCCACAATATTAGACATTCAAGTAAGATTAGAATGCCTTCATTAAATAGGGCTCTACATCACTTTTACCAGGAGAGGGAGCTATTACCACATTTTATTTACAGTGGGATGTATCAACAAATGTGTTTCACCAACTTGCATGTTTACGCATGTAAGAATATACTGCGAATTATACTTAAAAGAGTACTTACTTTTTTTTGTAGCTGGGAAAAGAAAAAACCTTTGAAATTCTTAATGTGCTGGAGTTTTCCAGGTAAGTTTTCCTCTAATATACTAAATGTAGGGTAACAAGAAAACCATTTTTGTAAATACATTATTGAGAATAAAAAGTTTCAGCTGATGCAGTAGAAAAGCTGAACTACTTTAACTTTGTCCTGCCCCTCCATCTCCTCGTTTCCAATACAGGGCTAATACAGAGCTTCTTACAAACTGGTGGCTGTTGGCATGTGAGCATGAAGCTCTCCTGCCACTCCAGCTCCACTTTATTGAAAAGTTGCTGCCCTGAAAGTGTCATTCTGTGCCTCTTTGATTTCCTGATGTGTCACTTGTCTACTTCAAGAACATGTTTTGAGATTGAGGTTGCACTTTTATAGTGCTTCTGTAAATTACTCTTTTTTTTGAGTAGGTGGAATCTACAACTGGAGGGCTTTTTGGTGCCCCCCACTCCAGCTATGAAAAACTAAACCTTGCAAGCACTCCTCACTTGTCAGGCTAGTTAGGATGGGCACTGCTTGGGTGGCAAGAAGATTTGTGTGATGAATCTGGCCCCTAAATCATTGGATTCTCTTTGTCAGTTGATAAAGTTTTGTCAGTTTGGAGGGTGCTAGTCAGCAGGCTTTTCTGCTGTTTTTTCTGTTTTCACTGTGGCTTAAAGCCTTTAAGTCTTGTTCTCTGCCCTCTTTGAGTTGGCTGGTTCTGCTCTAAAGGAGTATGTAAAACTGAAGTCAGGGAAGATTTGGGTAGGCAGCTTTTCTTGTGTCCTGTTTTGCTTTGAAGATTATGCTTGACTAGTTTCCCCTTTTCATTCAGAATGTAGCTACTTAAGCTACTTATGGGAATATCTAAAAAGGTACTACAAGAATTTAGGGTTTCTGACAAGTTCAGTACCCTGGTGTCTGTGGACAAGAGTAGCTGTAGCCTGCAGGCAGCAGAAAAAAGCTTAGTTCTTCCCTGTGTGTAGCAACTTCCTACTTGATCAGTGAGGGAGTTCCTATAATTAGATTTCAAAAAGCACAAGGAGGCTTCCCAGTATCATTAGCTTGCTGCAGAAATTCTGGGCACAGCTAATTGCTGTCCTTCCAGACTTTCTAAAGAAAGTCTCTGTTTTGTCTGATCATACATGCCAAGAGCTTACTTTCTTACACATGGCTCTTGAGCCCTGAAAAGGGGCTAGATTTCCCAGACCAACTTCAGAGGAGGAGGAGGAAGATAGGTCTACACTCTGATCTGTTTGTACATATTGGCAAGAAGGGAATGAGGAAGGAGGATGCTTTTGAATTCTCTGTTTGCTAAGGAAAAGAATTATAGTTACAGATAACTTGTTTTGAATATGAAACCATATGTACTTAGGGTTCTCTTGATGAGAGTTGATTTGCTTGCCTCTGCTTCTTAGAAGCTGCATTTTTTCCAGTGGCTCTTTTAAAGGAGAGATTGATAAGTGAAATGCCAAAATTGATCTTAAAAAAAAAAAAAAAAAAAAAATTCTTGCCTACCTTCCTTTGTTAAATATCTGTGTATAGTATGCTACTGTTTACCTTTGTTTTTAAAATATATCCCAAATTTGACTGTCTTGATATGCAGTCCTGCTCAGAGGGTCTGACTTTGTTTTACATAATCTCAACTATGTAGGTCTGATTAGGCCAATATAAAGAACCTATAGGGAGGCCAAGAGCTGGTCTATACCATGATTCCTTTCTATGACATTTTTGTGTTCTTTTGAGTTAGGAAGTTAAATAACTGCCCTTGTCAGTGGGTGGTTATTTCAGTGTCTGTTATGCTTATAATAAATATGCATTCAGCCTTAATGATTCCATTTCTAGCCTGAGTCCCCAAAACAATTTTGCTTGAGGAATAATGAAAAGCTGTGACTCCCCTTCTTTCAGGAGGATTTCTGTGCCATCTTGCTCTTTTCCAAATTCTTGCTTACATTTGGGTGCAAGTCTGTGTTCTGGTTGAGTGCTCACCATTGGGAGCCATAGGGCTGAAGCTGGAAATGGACAATTTAGTATTTCTTGTTGCTGTCAAGCATTGTGTTGTCTTAAGTTACTACAGTTACATCTCACCTGATCTCAGATGCACTGAGCACATCTGAGAAAATTCACTGGCTAGAGCAGGACTTACTTGTTATCACTATGACTAATGAAAGCAAATATTTTTCTTTCAATAGCAACAGGAAGAGAATGTCAGTGATTGTTCGAACTCCAGCGGGACAGCTGCGTCTCTACTGCAAAGGGGCTGTAAGTAATTGTGGTACCTAATGGAGAACTAACACTACCAGTTATTGTTTCAACAGCTGTGGCTGATGCTGGCATTTTGTGTCTCATGCATAATATCTGTTGGCTTTCTGTTTAGGGCCAAGTGATTTAGGAGATCTGTCATTCCTCCTCTTTGCAGGCAGAAGATTGCTAGGCTTCCTACTACCCAGTTGAAATTGTGAAACTATTGGGAGCACTACCTTTTACTTATGCAAAGTCAGGATTTCACCCAGCTGTGCAGCAGCAGTTCGGGAGCTAGACTAAATGCTGTTGTCTGAATCTGTAATACTAAAATCTGTTCTCAGGTGGTTGGCTCTTGATCTGGCTCTTGCATCTCTGCACCTGTTATTTGTCATCATGACTTGCACCATGTTGTGCTTCTGTCTTCACTGACAAGAGCAATAACATAGCGAAGTATAAAGGCTGCAAAACCAGCATTGGCCACAGCCAGATAGTGGTTCTAATTTCAATGGAAACCCATGCAGGTGGCTTTTTGCAACAGGGAAAACTATTTCTGACTTCTGTAAGGACCTGGTTTACTTGAATTTGTCCTGACATATAGGTTTGCACTGCTCTGTTGCTTCAGTTTAATTCCTCTGATTTGATAAAGATGTGCCGGCTTCATGCTGGTGTGGTGGGAGTGAAGCCCACTGTCATTGTGTGGTATTTCAAAGTTGTATGCCTAGTAGGATTGCACAGATTTGCAACTGCTTGTTGCTCATACCATGCCTGTGTCCACACTGTTTCCTGGAGTATGGCACTGGAAGGGATGGATAACAGGAGAGTTTGTAGTAAAAAATTTCATGCAATCTTCCATATGAGCAGACTCAGATGTCTAATAGAGCGAAAGGGTTGTAGTAATCAGTGTAATCTAGTGTTTTGTCTTATATGTTCTGCTGCATCCACCACTGATCTAAACTGTAAGTTCTGTGTGAACTCTTCCACATTCCGATAGTCATATCCTATCCTGTCACATCCATCGTAAATTACTTGTTTTGTATGCCTGTCTCTAATCAGTGATAGATGTAGGCCTGTTTACATAGCTTAAGAGTATGTATTTGAGCAAAAGCAGGGTTTGTGTATTTTACATGTATCTATCAATTTGTTCTGGTAGTTGCAGAATAAAATCCAGAGACTCTAAGATACGTTGGTGATGGTGCTGAATTTTGATTTTAGCTGTTATCTGTGTCTTTTCAATTGCTCTTTGATTTAGTGATGAAGAAAGTTGCCGCAGGAAGAAGGTTATTTCTGAGAGAATTTTGTGGTAGAACCTGTTCAGTGTTTCTGCCTTGTATTTTTTAACATCAGTGAGAATCTTTTCTAGAAAGGATTGCAAAAAGCTCTTTTATATGGGACTACAATGTGTACTGAAAAAGACTAGACACTTATATTCTCTGAAAATCAACATATCTGCTTCGTAATTCAGAAAGGAGTGTTCTGTACTGCCCAGTAATGGAAAGAGGGGAGGAGGGTAGAATGTGCTTCTGTCTCCATCATTTAAAGCAGATGCAGTATCTCTGCCACTGGGCAAAATCCACATTAGTTACTCGAACCAAAGTCTCTAAAACCCAAATGCATTAGTTGTAAATATAGTCTTGGGTTCCGATATTAGCAAGTCCACTCAGGTTACTTCACTTGAGCTTGAAATAAACAGATGGGAACTTCATATGTAGACTTACTCTGTTGTAATGAATTTGATTTTGATAGGATAATGTAATTTTTGAGAGGCTTTCGAAAGATTCCCAGTATATGGAGCAAACACTGTGCCATCTTGAATACTTCGCAACAGAAGGTAAGAGAAACAGCATGTCATGAGAATTCAGTTTATCAAATTACTTGCAGCATGTTCTGCATTGTTTAAGCTTTGCAGTGCCAAATAAGGTGGTTATGACGATAAATTAAGAAGTGGTGTGTAATCAGCAAATTAAACTTAAAGTTATCCTAGAGTTGTTAAGGCAGTTTGTGCTCTGCTTCTGTGAGCTTTCAGTAGGGAAGCAGAATTTGGAAGGAAAAGATGGGGTTCTGTGTGGCCATGATGAAGGGAAAGGGCATGAGTTCTATCTCCAGAACACCTTAATTACATTGGAGTTAGAGGTGTTTTTGCCAGTGTAAAAGTCAAATGACAAAGTCCCTGGCTTTATGAAGCAGAATGATAACCTGAATGTGCTGAGAAGCCTGGAACACCAAGACATCAAAGATGGTCTGAAATGGTCTCTAAGGCCTTTGTGACTGATACACAGGGAAGTACTTGGTTTTGTTCACTCTTCTACAGCAGCAGAAAATATTTGCATTATAGTAAAACAATGAACTAGTGCTTTTCTTCCTAAATCTGAAAACATTTTTTATTTAGCTTTTAAAAAAAGAAAAAAAATTTTTTTGCAGACTCCCACATTCTCAGTAACTAATCTTTTGTATTTTATTGCACACTCCTTTGTGCTTGACTCATGCCAGAAAAAGAAATATCATTACTTCTGTATGTTAATTTTTGTCAGTGGTCTAATAAAATGGTTTTCATACTTCATGGGCCTTATTCTCTACTCTTCTGTGCGTGTGTAAGTCCCATTATTAATGTGAGATATGTGCATACACTGAAGGAGAAAACAGTCTGTCTAAAAGGAAGTGTGGGCTGTGCAGGATGTTTGATTAAGTAGTATCTCCAGTCACAATATGTAGCCGGTTCTTTGTTTAATTTGATCTTTTTAAAAATACATGAAAGCCAAGCTTGGTTTCATACTTAAACTAAAAAGATTAAAGATGACCCTTTTGTTGCTCCAGTATGGCTAGATTGCAATACTGCAAATCAGGGAGAAGTTTGTGTCTGTTTCTCTTGATTTGCACCAACATTAGTAACCTACATGAGCCAGACTCTTGTTTTACATTTGTGGAAACCCAAATGCTTTAAAAATGTACAGGGAGATTTTCTGGAATCCAGAGTTTAAGTGTACATTAAAAGCTCCTGTTGGCTCCAGTGAGAGGGTTAGAATTTAGCATTCATTGGGGCATTAATGATTTGCTGATGCTCAGTGTAATTTTACTGTGTGTAATGGCTGTCTTCTGTTTTGTAGGTCTGCGGACTTTGTGCATTGCGTATGCAGACCTGTCAGAAAACTGTTACAGAGAGTGGTTGAATGTCTACAATGAAACCAGTACAGTTTTGAAAGACAGAACTCAGAAGCTGGAGGAATGCTATGAGATCATTGAAAAGGTAAGATGCATACTTTTTTGGTGATCAGATACAGATTCCCTTACATGTGTCTTTTCCCATGGAATTTTGGCTTTATACAGTAGAACTGTTAACTTCATTCATCAGAAACTGAAAAGGTATTCTTAGTTGGCAACCTGTTCAGTCCATAGACCTCTTAAGTTTTAGTTCGTAAATCTGAGACTAACTTATGTATAAAAGGTCATTGCTACTTAAACTCTTTTCTCATATCCTTTTTATCTTGCTGTCTTGTGTAAGGTTGGTGTAACTTGATAAATATAATGTATAAAATCATTGTGTTGCACCAAGTTGCCATGTACTAGCATATGAAGAGAAATTTGTTCCTTTTCATACAGCAGTCATGGTTCAGGTTTTCTGAAGGCTGTTATAGACACTGTAGACAAAACAAAGTGCTCACCAAGGCCTGTTGTCGCATGGACTGAAAAAAGATGAAAAACTGTGCTCCATGCAAATTGTAGAACTCAAAATTCTGGAAGAGGAAAGTAGGTATCAGAGAACCAGTTTGAAACTAATACCACACTGAGTGAAATGTTAAAACGTCAACACTAGGGGCCAATGTTTCTTTGATACTTGTTGGTCTTACTGCTTTCTGAAATGCTGGTAGTCCCACTTCTCACCTGCACTTATTCATGCTCTTTCCCCTCACTCCAGTTATTTCACTCTCGTTTTATTTAGTGGTTTCTTTAAAATGCTCTTTGAACTTCAATTTCTTTTTTAATTGATATTAATAATGCAACTTCAGTTCTGGAGCACTGTTGGTTATTTGAGTTAGTTGGGGCAGAAGAGGGAAGGAGTTGAGACTAGGATGGGAGCTAACTTTCATAGGGTAACAGAAAAACTCCAAGAACTCTTTAATAGCTGAAGATTGGGTCTTGCTTTGCAGACTAACATTTAAAGTCGTCTTTTGTGTTGGTTGGTCAGCTGCAGTGTGGTTATCTAATCCTTGATTCTGTAGGTTTGCATTGCTCTTTTCAGCTTTCTGCTTCCTACGACTGTGCTGTTGTACTCTTCTGTTTTCACTGAGGTGAAAAATGAACATGGGTTGATTCTCTTTAAAATGTGTTCTCAAACCTTAGATAATTTTTGACCATCTACCTTCTACCTCTTTTCACAATTTATTATCTTGAAAAAAGATAACGAGTGGGTTGTAGAATTAGAGTTTTGGACTTAGTGCCATATTGGTAGGAAATACCCACTGTATTCCTTTCCTGTTAATGTTTGCTTGCTAGTCATACCAAGGAGCAGGGAATTGCACTTGAAACTTGAATTTTTTTTTTTTCTTAGAGCTGGTATTTCCTAGGTTAAATTCTCTGGTCTGTAGGCTCTTCTTTCTAGATAATAAACTGGCTTGTGGCTGTAACATAAAATACGTTATATTTTAACAGGCTAATTTTTCATCTAAGGGCTCAAACGAGAGCGTGAGAGCTACTTTGTCAGGCTGAGTGTTGAGGTCACTGGATCATAGTACAGGTGCACACGTGGAGACAAACTTGAACTGGCTTCCTTCCCCATGTGTACACCGGCTGAGAGGGCTTCAACAGGCACAATAGTAACTCCCCTGGTCAGGTAGCTCAGCCATGCTGGTACCTGTGCTGTCATGTTTAACTGCTTAACAAGTGATTTTGGAAAAAAAAGACAATCTACAGTTGCACACTTGAATTGCATTTGTAACCTTCAAGTATTGTTAGCATCAATAGGGCTAATGTTTCATCAGGAGGCTATAGGGTACTAAAGCAAATGACTTATGGGAGTTGATTCTACTACCTTTACCAGATGAATATCTCGTAACAAACCTTAAGCTTTGTCAAGACCTGCAACTAATGTCAGCCTACACACATGTATAAATAACAACTTCCTCTTTTGTTCTTTATGCATGCATAGATGCATACAAGGAGGAGCTGCTCTAATGCCCTCTTCATAGAATCATAGAATAGTTTAGGTTGGAAGGGACCTTTTAAAGGTCATCTAGAGTCCAACCCCCTGCCATGGGTAGGGACATCTTCCACTAGACCAGCTTGCTCAAAGCTCTATCCAGCCTGACCTTGAACACTTCCAGTGATGGGGCATCTACCACCTCTCTGGGCAACCTGTTCCAGTGTCTCACTACCCTCACTGTAAAAAAAATTCCTTCTTTATATCTGATCTAAATCTACCCTCTTTCAGTTTAAAACCATTGCCCCTTGTCCTGCCACTGCAAAGCCTTGGTAAACAGTCATTCTCCATCTTTCTTATAAGCCCTCTTTATATATAGAAAGGCTGCAATAAGGTCCCCCTGGAGCCTTGTCTTCTCCAGGCTGAACAACACCAACTCTCCTAACTGCTTCTGTTGACTTAATTTGTTTTCACTTGTTTTGAATAATTATAGTCCCTACAAATAATAGAAGCTGTAACTTTCTCTGTGCAATTCCTGACATGATACAGTATAACTAAGCTCAATTGGTATCAATTTTTTTAAATGGAACATCTTCACATATGTAAGGGATCATTAAAATGCTTTTAAAGTTAAAATCTGCTGAGTAGATTGTGCCTTTTGACAAGATTTATTTGTTAGGTATTTTTGTCTGCCTGACTTTTTTTTTTCCTGTAACATGGCCAAATCTCTTCTAGCAGTTGCTTTAGAATTGCATAAGACTATGGCTAACTCTTGTAGTATTAAATTAGTTGTACGAGACATGTTTTTGTGGCAGTATGTAGACTAGAGATACTTGGATTGATTAATGTTCATACCACTTTTATTATGTAAATGTAGTGATTATATCCATAAATAGTTGCAATAATTTTTGCTTTGAGTGATTGTATCCAGTCTGTATGTACATTTTATGGGAGGGAAATTAGTTTAAATGATGTGATGCCAGGTGACTTTTGTTTTGTGAGCTTAAGTAATATATAAACTGTGACCACTCATCATGTTGCTATGGTGATTAGTGAATGCTCTAGTATGTATGTTCATCCATAGGCTAGCTTTGGAGTTGTGTAATTTCAATTAATTGCTCTTGAAACGTTGCCATCTTTCTGATCAGAAACACTTGGTTACTTTCTGTACCTCTTGAAATAAGAATTGTATGCAGAGGAAGTAGAATAGGCACAGAAGAAACATACTGTAGTGTATATTGCTTGTCAAAATGCTGTATTAGCAATGAGGTACAACATGCTGTCTTTAATTCCTTTTTGAGTGTGTTCCAAACAGGTTTATCTTAAAAAAACAATCCCTCAAATTCTTTTTTCCAGGATTTACTGCTTCTTGGAGCTACAGCCATTGAAGACCGCCTGCAAGCAGGTGTTCCAGAAACAATAGCCACGCTAATGAAGGCAGAAATTAAGATATGGATTCTGACGGGAGACAAACAGGAAACAGCTCTCAATATAGGTATCCATCTTTCTGGTTACTCTGAATTTGTCTGATATGTGACAGGTTACATACTAGATCTGCAGAGTGGGGTTTTAAACAAAAACAGGCCTGCTTTTTATAGAATGGTTCCTTGGTAGCAGACAGGCATGTGGTAGCCTTCACTTTGGAGAAGGAGGCGTTTTGGAGTGGAGTCTTTGCTCTGAGTGTCAGGCTATATTCAGGGTTTTTTAAGGCAAAAGGGACACTTCTGCTCTTGGTTAAGTACAATTCTTGTATGGAGTGAACACAGGTAACTCTGCGTTCTGATGGAGACTGGAGAACTCAACCAGACTGTAATGTGTTTTATATTTTGCATGACATCACTGTTTTACAGTTTTTTTTTTACTGACTGCCTTTTCTGGACTTTAATGGAGTTTGGGATATGATGGGAAATATGGTAATACAAAGCATATAGCTTACAACATCTTGCAAACCTTGTCTGTGAAAGTAGATGGATGCTTGAATAACTGCTCCTGCTGTCACCTTATGGCACATCTGTTAGTCAAGTATGTCGTGACTGTTAGTGGAAGTGTGTTGTTGCTATTGAGTGTATGTATAGAGTTTAATATGGGTTGTTTTATCAAGGCACAGTATGGATATCCTTGTTTCAAACTTGTTGATGCATCTTAACTTACAAATTATGTTCTTTGTAATGCAAAAAAAATCTTGCAATGATGTGAACAAAAAATACAAATTAAAGTATTTATCAGATGGGTGTGCTTGGATACTGATATAATAGAACGGTAACCTACTTAAGATGTAGGTGTTTATCTGACTACCTGTTTTTGCAGCAAAAAAAAGGAGAGTTTTTAACACTGTGAGTTTAGGTTTGTTATTAGAAGCAGCCCTTAAATATTAGGTTTCCTTTTAGGTCATAAATGTACCTGGTAAAAATCAGTCTATATATCCAATTCTACTTGTAATTTGTCAGATAAAAAAAATTTAAGGCTGGGCTGAACTGGAGGTGCACATTGTAATTTCAATCCTATAGCAACTAGATGTTGTGCTCTGTAGCACTTCGGCTATTGTGCTAGTCTTGCATTGGCTGTGCCGCATGAGTCTAGTAAGTACTCAAAAGTCAAATCCTTCAGCCTTTTTCTCACTGTGGATGCTTGCAAGGTGGGCAGCCTGGGTAGCAACACCTTGTGCTGTCACAGAATGCCATGCTTGAAATGCTGATTTGTGAGCTATGCTGCCATCATGCCGTAGCCCTTCACACTACACTAGTAGCCTCCTAGGAGAGAGGCTATCCAGGTCTTAACTGAGTAGTAAAGACTTAGTAAAGGAACAGATCCTGATATAAGCACCCCTGTCCCATAATATCACATATCTCCCAAATATAGCATCCTTGGCAATATAGTGTCATTATGCTCTTGTATTCTTTTTGATGATTTTTCTCCCTGTAACTGGTAAATCTGTCCAGAAATGGAAAGAGTATGACTGGCACTCTGGTGATCTGACATCTCGCAGAACGGAGTGACATTTTCACCTTGTTTCTTAAGTCTGGAACACTTTGCTTATCCCCATTGTCTCTAGTGTGCCCATGTAAAGTGCTGTCCACAATTGCATTCAGATTTGCAAATTAGTCTGTCTAGATGTACGAGTGTAGGTTAAGGGGATCCTTAACAGCATAGGCGGCTGTTGTTGTTTAACCCGGCAGGCAGCCAAACCCCATACAGCTGCTTGCTCACTCCCCTCCGACCCCAGGATAAAATCGAGAAGGGATGGGGAGAAAATCGAGAAGGGTGCTGTTGTTTTTTAACCCGGCAGGCAGCCAAACCCCATACAGCTGCTTGCTCACTCCCCTCCGACCCCAGGATAAAATCGAGAAGGGATGGGGAGAAAATCGAGAAGGGTAAGAGTGAGAAAAACTTGTGGGTTGAGATAAAGACAGTTTAATAGAACAGAAAAGGGAAAACAATAATAATAATGATGATGATAATGGTAGAATATACAAAGTGAGTGATGCACGATGGAATTGCTCACCACCCGCACTGACTGATAACCAAGTAGCAATCGCTACTTCCTGGAACATGCCTACCATTCATATACTGAGCATGATGTCACATGGTATGGAATACCCTGTTGGCCAGCTGGGCTAGCTGTCTTGGCTATGCTCCCTCCCAATGCCTTTTTTTTTTTAGGCTGAATGTCCTGGACTAGCAGAGTACTTAGCAACAACTGAAAACATCAGTGTGTTATCAACATTCTTCTCATTCTAAATCTGAAACACAGCACTAGGAAGAAATTTAACTCTATCCCAGCCGAAACCAGGACAGCTGCCTTCTGTTGAAGGAGCTATTTCTTTAGCCTTTCCAAGCTTATGTTGACTTCAAGATTCTCTAACTTATATGAAGAATGTGACCAATGAAGCTTTTCATATATAGAACTGCCTGTAGATGGGTCTGGGTGTATTTCAAGCTCCTTCTGGCAGAACTGTGATGCTCTGTAACTGAACTTACATTACCTTTAGCAAAACTTTAGGCATTTGCTATTTTTTGTCTGCTTTTAATTTTTTCTGCTTTGGCTGGTTTAGTGGAATTTCAGAATGTAGTCTGCTTGACTGACTAGAATTTTTGTTTACTTATCAAAAGTGAATCAAGTTTCATGTATCTTTGTATGTCGAAGTTGGTACCAGGAGATGAAATAACTTGCTGAACTGATACAGTTGTAGTAGAAATAAGGTGGATGGCTTAAGTAGACAATTGATTTAAATGCTAGTTATCTCATTTGAATCACGATCTGCGGATTTGCTTCCTTTAAAAGCAGTAGTCAACTTGAGAGGAGGGAAGCATCATCTTGTGACAAATTAAAAAAGTAGCTACAAATTTTGGCATAAATACCTGAAATAAGTTGATACATTAACTGACACCAGCTAGCTTGAACACAAGTACGTGAGCTTGATAGCAAAGGCTGTGAAGGAGGCTAACTTCCAACTTGTCTCTAAAACTGGTTTTTTTTATACGATAGCAACTTGAAAAGAATAAGCATCTCCCTTACAATTTCTAAATTATCACTTTTAGCATACAATTTGGTAATAAAACTCTGGAAGCTTAATTAGCTTCATGTTCAAGTTGGCTTGAAAGTACAAACATGTGGCACCCTTCGAGTTTTTATATGTAACCCATTAAAACTGTAATAAACATTCAATTTAAAACCCAATCCACGTGCACACTTTATGCTTCAGGTGTAAATGTGCTATCTGGGGAGTGAAAAGTATTTTCATTTTCTCATTGTGTGTGGAGGTTATGCTTATGGACTCTAGCTTGCTGTATGGACATCCATATGTATTGAGGGATATTTGAGCTCTTGGCGGCTGCCCCAAGGAGTTGGAGTACTTCGTTCTTCTAGCTTCCTCTTGATTCTTTGGCCTTCAGAATTTGTGTGTCTTTGTCTCTTGATGGCATTCTTGACTTCTCTGAAGAGTAATGGTTGACCTTGCTGTGGGGTGGTTGTATGCTTTCGACTCTGCCATGTGCCAGCTGATAGTCCTGTAGGTGAGGAGTGTGTTCCTGATAAGCTTTAATACTGATCAATGATTTGAACTCTCTACCTGTAGAAAATAGGAGTTCCAAGTTCAGAAACACCTTTGAGCATGACATTGGGTCCTCAGTTTTTATCAGCTGAAACTGTCCTTAGCCTGTGTCTGCAAACAACTCTAGAAGGCTTAACAGTGTTCTTGTAGCTTCATGCTTCTCTTAAAACACTCTGCAGACTCTGGATCTCCTTTGCCTTTCAGTGAGGCAAAAAAACCCATGGCAGATTTCTATTTACCACCATCCTGGTGCTCAGTAGGCTCCCAGAAAATCAGAACTGATGTATTTCCAGCCAATAACTTCCTTAATAACAGATTACTTTCTGGGAGTAGGAATGAAGTGTTTCTGAACTGCATCCCTCCCTTGAACAAAGAATCAATCCCTACAGTTGAGCTAAGTGCTCTTACCTAGAGTATGCATTCATAGCTGCGAGCACTGCCTTACAATCATAAATGGTTTGGGTTGGAAGGGACTTTCAAAGATCTAGTCCAATCCCCCTGCTGTGGGCAGGGACATCTACAACTAGATCTGGTTGTTCCTCAAAGCCCCATCCAGCCTGACCTTGAACACTTCCAGTGATGGGGCATCCACAACTTCTCTGGGCAACCTGTTCCAGTGTCTCACCACCCTCATCATTAAAAAATTCTTCCTTATATCTAGCCTAAACCTACCCTCTTTCAGTTTAAAACCACTGCCCCTTGACCTGTCACTAAAGGCCTTGGTAAAAAGTCTCTTTCTCTTTCTTTTAAGCCCCCTTTATATATTGAAAGGTCTCCCCAGAGCCTTGTCTTCTCCAGGCTGAACAACCCCAACTCTCTCAGCCTTTCCTTACAGGAGAGGTGTTCCAGCCCCCTGATCATTTTCGTGGCCTTCCTCTGGACCTGCTCCAACAGGTCCATGCCTTTCCTGTGCTGAGGACTGCAGAGCTGAATGCAGTACTCCAGGTGGGGGTCTCATGTCCAATTTCTCATCCACTAGTATCCCCAGCTACTTCTCAGCAGGGCTGCTGTCAATCCATTCATTGCCCAGTCTGTACTGATTGATATTTGGGATTGCTGCAACCCAGGTGCGCTTGGCCTTTGAAGTTGAACTTCATAAAGTTCACATGAGCCTATTCCCCAAGCCTGTCAAGGTCCTTCTGGAGGACATCCCTTCCTTCTATCATATCAACTGCACCATTCAGCTCAGTGTTGTTTGCAAGCTTGCTGAGAGTGCACTCAATCCCACTGTCTGTCATCGGTAAAGATACTAAATGGTATTGGTCCCACGACTGACCCCTGAGGGACACTACTTATGATTGGTTTCCACTTCCAATGGTACGTTGAACCATTGGCTGTATCTCTTTGGATGCGGCCATCCAGCCAATTCCTTATCCATCTAACAATTCATCCATTAAACCCATATCTTTCCAATTTAGAGGTAAGAATACTTCTGTTACAGCGAGCCATGATTTTTCAGTTGAGGGAATGGAAGCAATGCCAGCATGCTTGCCTGTATCCCTATGTGAAGTTTGAGCAGGGCAAATGTGCCCTCTCTAAACACAGAGGATAATCATTCTTGCCTCAGATACTGGATTCTGTATGTCTGCAGTACGAATGTGCCTGTGGGCTATGATCTTGAACTCTGGTTCAAGGGTTCAAGCAATCTTTGTCCCAGGACACTTGAAGGGAAATAAATCCCAGAAGTACCTGATTCATCTTCTTCATGGACTTTTAAATTTAAGAGCTAGATATCAATTTACAGGCATGGATTGACATTTATACCTGGCTTTGAACCAGCAGTTGATCTTATTCTACTCAGAAGCATTGACAAAAATGTGCCCTGATCTTAGTGGTTTTTTGCTTGCCATGTTCGTACTGCCAGTAATAACTATTATGAAACTATTAGAAAGATTTAAAATATGACTACAAATGTCACTTGTAATCTTACAGTTGCTAGTTACTTTGCTTTATACTAGGGCTAGATTTTACCATCTTCATAGTCCTGAAATGGTACATAATGTATAGCTCTCCTATAAACCGTTGTTAGGCTTGATGCTTATCCTGCTATTGTAATCTTGATCTCCTTCCTGTTTGATGTGATGACAAGATGCAGAATGACCTCAATTGTAGGATTAGTTCTTCTGACTCCATGACTTCCAAGACGCACAGCAGAGCAACTCTGGTTTCCACACTTGTGTGGGTTTTTTTTTTCCAGCTCCATTAGTTGAGTGGCATCTTGCTCGTTTTGAGAGAAGTAAAATGAAACAGCGAGCAGTGGTTTAGAAACTACAGCTTGCTATTGCAGCTGCTGTTCCAATCAAATGCTTCTAGAAAATCCTTTTGAATTAGTTATACTGAATTTGTAACAGCCTACTGCACAAGGCTGTTGCCATTCCCTGGGGAAAGAATAACCCTGACATGGAGGGAAGTGCGTAAGTTTGTAATACTCTTTTTCTCCTCAGTAAAAATAAGGTGGTTCTTCAGCCTGGGACTAACTTTTAAAAACGGCAGACGGAGTTTTTTCCCAAGTCAGTCTTTTGTCTGTACCTGTTGAAGCTTCATTACTCAGTTCTGTACTACCACCTAAGACTTGTTCACAGGCAGAATCAGAGGCTGTCTGCAAAGCTGTCATGTTGTAGGCTGCATTTCTTCAGAATGTATTTCATCCTTTTCCCAACAGGTGTGTGTGAGTTCAATGTCACTTTATATTGTTCTCTAAAGCAGAAAGTAAACCTTAGCTTGTTAACACAATAAGATGGAAATGTATCTGCAAGGTTGCACCTGATACTTGTATTCCACACAGCTGTGAAAATGGAAGAGAAACAAAACTTCTGCAGGTAATCAAACCTGCTGCCTGAAAGTGCCTGGCTATGTGATATAAGCATGCCTTCCACAAAGGAAGATGGGAGATTTGCTTTCTTGACAGACATCGTTCCTGCAGGCATGTTAACCCTGGATTATACCTACAAAACTAGCCAATTATAAAAAAATCTGTGGCCTGAGGAAATGATTTGCATTGCAATTGATGAGTCAGTATGGCCTTCCTAAGGAACCAAGAATCCCACAGAAAATAAATTCATACCTCAGTTTTTCTGTTGCTGTTGTGAGATATGGAGAGAGACACTTAATCTTTTTACATTGACTATGCTGTTCTGCTTTTGAACCTGTTGGCCTTGCAGTGGTTCATCACTGGGACGTTACTCTCATACTGCAGTAGCCTCTCTTCTCTATTTAAGAAAAGTAAAAGACTTCCTGAGACTTCATTTTGTGACAGTAATTTCTTTACTTGCTGTGATTCATTTCTATACAAAAGCACAGTAGAAATACAAAATAATTCTATTGTATTTCCTTTTCCTATGTAACTTAGATCAGCAATAAAAGGCATGTGCTTCAAATAAATGAATTCTTTGCTGTTTTATGAAGCTACATGACTGTGCCAATCCCAAGAGAACTTGCATGAGCTTTTAGGATAATGCAATGGGGTCAGTCTGATGCGAGTTTGCATTTGTCTCTTGCCATTAATATGAGCTGGAATTAAACTGTTTATTCTCTAAATGCTAAGTGTATATATATATCCTGGATATGACTGTTTTATGTCAGCAATAATTGTGTGGCAGCGGAATGGCCACTTCAGTGGCATTGAGTGGTACTGCAGTCACTGGCTTTTACTATTACAAAAATAAGAGGCTTTTTTTCTGTCTTGAGAATTTTTGCTTTGAGTTTTGGTGTCCTGGCAAATGTACAGAACTGCCTTCCAAGTGCTGCTCCAGACTATGGCAACTTGTTCTTGTTCTTTCAAGCCCCAGTCCTACACTAAGAATAGTCTAGTACAATTACCTGGTGCCTATAGGAGTTGGTGGGGGCTCTGTGTGTGTCATTGATTTGTAGTTTTGGATGAAGCTCAGGACCTTCCACACTAAACCCTAAGGAGTAAAAAATGCTCATGTAACCCAAGCGTGGGCTAAGGAGAATGGGTAGCACCAACTGATTCAGTGCTTCCAGTCATGTAGCATAACTGCAACTGTGCGTTCAGATCTGTTCCTGTAACATGTTGAAGACAATTCTGTCTTCATGTAGGTTAAAAAAAAAGTTTAGGTATAGAAATATTTAATTTTGCTGTAGGGATATAGCCTATGTTTACTGCATCTAGTTAATATGGTGTTTTCTTTGGTTAAAACATCTCAAGTGATGTATTTGGAAATGCAGATAAAATGCAGCCTCTGTTGCTAGTCAAACTTTAAAGTTGGAGTGTGTCTTGTACACCAATGCTTCCAGTAGCCTGCCTGATAGAAGTAACTGCTCAAAAAGTAAACTGTAATCTGAGCTATAGATGCTCCTTTTAAGGTTTAGCTAAACCTTAAATATTCTTCCAAAAAGTTAAGTCCTTGTGGTTTTTTTTTCTCTTGCAGGGTACTCTTGCAGACTCATTTCACAGAGTATGTCTCTCATCCTGGTCAATGAAGATTCACTAGATGTAAGTAAGCAAATTTAGGTGTAATTCTTGGCAGAAGGAGGTGTTGGTAACAAAAGGGGAAGCTGTTGAGCTTTTTCTCATTTGCCTTTAGGGATAGCAAAATAAACAATTAATGATAAAACGGGTGGGTTGTGCAAAATGTACTCCTGAGGTCTCCAGTCACAAGCTGTACAGATCGAACTAAAGTCTCAGAACAAGAAACTAATTAGGTCCATGGGTTTGTTTCTGCTGCAAACTGGTGAAACCTGCAGTATGTCATCAGGAATAAAGTTAGGCTTTAAGGTACAGATATAGGAGTAACATCTTTTAAAAAAGAAAAAAAAACAAGCTAAAAGACTCATTTCAACATAGTAAGCTATCTTCAGCATTGCATGGAAGAGCTGTAACCAAACCTATGCCTGAGCAAACTGCATTGTGAGCTTGCCTATGTACAGCTTTTGAGATGTAAAAATTGGATTAAAAATTGCCTGCAGGTGGTTGCCATGCTCCTCAGGTATGTGCCAAAATTAACTAGAAAAATCGTACACTTGTACATGGATCTTCCCAGAAGATCTTTTTTCCAATTTGCCTGTTTCAGCATCAATATCAGCATTTGATATCACTTGAATATCTGATTGCTATTAGAGGTATTTGTGTGACAGATGAAAAGATCTATAATAAACAGCATCTGATACTTGTGTTTAGAGTTGGCAACTTGTCCTGCTTGACTGGATGGGAGATGCAAAGCCTGTATCTTCGAGTACCAAAGGAGTTACTGGATAACTGGAAATCTGGTGGAAGAGGGGAATGCTATTGTGGCAAAGTAATCACCTGATGATAAACATTATTTTCCAGTTGCATCTATCTGATTTAATTAACAGCAGCCTTGACTGTTTTCAGCTCAGACTCAAGTTCTTTGTATGAGGTTGTGGCATCTCAAGGCTTAGGGTTCTAGCTCACCAGAACTCGGGAGATCCCAGTGAATCCAAGGGGAGAAGATTTGCTTCTAGAGGCTGGATTGCTAGCTTCTGTGCAGCATAATGCACCCTTATGGGAGCTGTCTCACTGCTAAGTTCTAGCAACGAAGACTATGTTAGTTCTCTCGCAGAAGTTAAGTTTTCTGTGTTTCTGCATAGTTAGTCTTTTTCAGATAATTCTAGTGGGATAAGAAGACTACTTTTTTTTTTCCAATTTGTTAACTGCATTAAATGTGTGTAGATTGGAACATATAAATTGTTTCAAGCTGATATCTAAATGCCTTGCTGAGGACTCCCATCTGTTCAGACCATCTTTTCCCATTTTTCCACTTCCGCATGGTCCCTCTTTAAGGAACTGTTTCCTTTTTGTGGGATCAAAATACTGTGCTCCTGATGAGCTTTCTGCTACTCTTGGCTGACTGGACCTCTTAACCTGAAGAAAGATGCAGAACTTCAGCAGAGAATGAGCAGCTGGTGGTCTTTGTTTCCTGAGGCAGGAAGATTAGTTGGTTAGAAATATAGGAATAAGAAAACTTTGGGGTTTGGTGTGGTTCTGCCCCCCCCGAATGTGTTGTGAACTCAACTCAGAAGAAGGAAAATGGTTGTGCTTTGTTTTCATTTTAAAAAATTTCTTACACATTCTGAAGCTCTGAAGTTTTTTTGACTCTGGAAGTAAGGCTCTTATTTCAATCTGAATTAAAAGTAGTTCTTCTAAATTTGCAGAAAGAAATAATGTGCCTTTTGTGCTGCCTGTTCAGATTCTCTGTGGCTAAAGCAAGGGGTGCAAACTGAAGGTGGAACAGAAGAAGTTCTTGCTAGATCAGAGGAAGAAAATGGAGCCAATATTGCTTGGTATTTAGAAAGATCTGGAAGTTGGACAAGATAGTCCTCAAGCCATGTTAACTTCACTTTTTCACTACTTCTGGTTTTGAATACAGTGATATAGTGAGAGATAGAGATTTTTGGGTACCTCTGTAGTGAATACAATTCAGAAGGTGCTGAGTACTACATAACAGTTTCAGCACCTGCTTTTAAATTGTGACCAGTTAAGTGGCTGAAAGGACCATGAGAGGGCATGATGAATAATGAAATTACTTACTACATATGCCCTAATGGCAAGTGCTTCAGCTATGGGGTTTTCCTTCAATTGTCAAACAGCTGTGTAGTGAAACGAAGTCGTCTCCGAAAAAC